AGAATGAACCTCTTTAAGGGCTTTACTTTCAATGGAATTAAATGCAATTCCTGTGTATACATATCTCAGTGTGTTTATTTCCATAACTATGCTGTTTCATTTCCTTAGAAGTTTCCCCATTCATTGGCCCGGCAAAAACTTTTCACCCTTCCCCAGCGAGTTGTGGCTGCGGCTGCGGCTGCGGCTGTGGCTGCTGTGCGACTGTCAACTTCAATGTCTGCAGAACAAACAAACAAACAACTTCATTAACCCCATAGGGCATACAGCCAATACACACACACACACACACACGTTGGATGGAGGCAATTGAGGCCAGGCAAACGCTTAGCTGACCCATTAGAGGGGAAAAAGCGCTCGTAAAGCGGAAGGCAAAAGAGGAAAAGGAGGCAAAAGTCAGGGGCCCAGAGAGCAGTGGGAGCAGTGGGATGCTAAGCAAAGCAGACAATCGAAAAAGCGAAACCAATCGAGGGAAAACAATCATGAAACACAAGACACCCGAGAAAATCCACAATCCTCGACACGTGAATCAAGGAACGGCTGGGTCGCCGTGTTAAGGTCAAAAACCAAAGCCGGATGAGTATGCGGATAAGAATATGGATGAGGATACACACACATGAAGGCAAAGTCAGAGTCAAATTTGGCAACTTTTTCGACGACCACTTGAAGCTTAGTCGAGGCTCTGAAATTGACGCTTCAATTCGAACGAGCCCCCCCGCTCAAAGTCCTTTGATTACCATGACAATGCCTGTCACTGTCACTGTCACTGTCACAGTCACTGTTTCTCTCTCCGTGTGTGCGGGTCTGTGCCTCCTTTTTGATAAGACATTTTACAGATTGCAGATAGTTTAACATGTTCATAGCTGGGGTGCCTCCCAATTATGGCCTAATTTGTTATGCATTTTTTTTGCGTGCAGTTTCTTGCCTCAAAGTTAAAGTTGCCAAAAACCACAGGAAGACCAAGAGACCGAGTCTCTAGCCATCTACGGATATTAAACTATTTCCGAAGCACACAAAAAGCCAATTTAAATGCTAATATAAAATACCAACATTTTATTATTATGCCAAGAGCACGCAGCCACTGCGCTCTCTCCCCTGGCAGCAGGGCAGCAGGACCAACGACCACTTTGGGTGCGAAGTTTTCTTGGTCGCACTGTGCGTGATAAGCCAAGTGGCTTGAATGATTTTGGCACAGACTCAGACACACCCCGCCCAAGAGGCTGCTCGCTGAATGGCATATGAGTGGGGGCAGGGCATGCCACTTGAAGCATGCACATGTGAGTGGTACAAAACCTACATACATACATATATTTATGTATGTACATAATATGTATGACATATGTACATGTACATAGCTACATATGTGTGTTGATTTGATTCCGAAATAGAAGACAATTGGCTGATTTGTATGCCCACAAAATCTATTGAGTTTCCATCCTCTGGCATCGTTTTTGTCTCACGAATAATGACAGTTTTTTAATTAGCTGAGTATGTAGTTAATGATTGAACAAATATCTACATTTACTTATGTAAATTCTACACCTAAGACAAGTCCTTGACAGCTTAAAATGTTTTTATAGGCATTTAAGGCCGAAAGATTACCAAAAATAATTCAACAAAACGAAAAAAAATATACCAAAAACTAAAAAAATACCAAAGATATACCAAAACATACCAAAAATATACCAAAAATATACCAAAATCTACTAAAACTATTTCAAAAATGTACGAAAAATATGAAAAAATATCTGTAAAAATTTCTGTACAAAAATCTATCCAAAAATATGCCAACAAAATCTGTAATAATCTGTGCTGCACATTTTCCCACACAAAAACTTGTGATGACCTACCCTAAGCCTACCTCAAACCTTCCTAAAGCCTATGTCCTCTGCTAACCCTTACCCACTCACCTGTCTATCATTGTCTCCAGTCGACTGTAGAGCTCACGTCGATGTCTGCGTTTGATTTGTGCCTGGGCGGATTTCTTTGTCGTCCAGCCATGGGCATTCTGCAGTACCCAAGTGACATTGGGCAGATCGTAGGCAACGCCCCAATTGATGCCCAAGCTGAGATACAGCAAGTTGGGATTGCCGATAACACCGGTGGTCAGGCAGACAGCGGCCTGCAAATACATATTTGATTTAATATCCAGGCTGTACTTGGGGGGGTTCATTGACTCACCGAAGCTGATGAGCCCACGGGAAAGGCCACAAAGCGTTTGCCTCTCGAGAGTTTGCGCTGCGTGCCAGCATGTGGTGGCAGTCCCAGCTGCAGCTCCAGCTCCTGCTCGAGCTCCCGTTCTTGGTTGATGAGTCCTGGCGGAGTCAGCGTGACATTGTTGACTTTGCTGGCATCGTGACTGCTTGTCGTCGGTGGCACCAGCGTGGCAAACACATGTGGCACATCGTTCTTCGACTGACTTTGGCATTGGCCCAAGAGCAACGCTGTGAGCAGCAGCTTCGGCCAGCTCGTAGACATTTTTCACAACTGATTTTGAAGTTTTTGGCCCTTGATTTGTGAGTGCCAGTTGCGGGTATTTTTTTAGGGGCATAAAACTACCTGTGTTTTAACGCGCTTTGAGAACTGTTAATTCAATTAGAAGCTGACCCAATTCGAAGCCTAATTTGTTGGTTAAACATGGAACTTGCTGTGTACAAATTGCAGAGACACGGAAAAGAGAGCTGAAGATTCACATCTGGTTGGAAGCACTGGCTCTGCGGCGCTTTAGTTATTGGTTGGACATTGCGATGGCATTTACAAATGGGCTAAGACTGCTCCTCGGCTGCTTGCTGCTGTCGCTGGCCTGTGGTGCAGAGTCCAGCAGCTACAACAGCTCCAGCAGCACTCGCGTCACTTACATGCAGCAGCCGAGTCACATTCTGCATCGCCAGAAGCGTTGGCTAACCTTTGAGCTGGGCACCTCCATGACGGTTTGGCATAACAAAATTATTTATTTACATACACAGCCAGTATCGCTGCATGTACTACGTTTCTTACAGATGACAGCCAACTGTGCCAAGGCCGTGCTGGAGACCATACCCAGAGGCCTGATCTGGTTGGCTGAGGCAACGAGCATCTACGAGCTACCTGCGGCTATTGAGGATTGGATACCACGACGTGTGGGCAAGCCCAAAGTTAAGCCAGCTCCGCCTCCCCCGCCGCCACCGCCTCCACCTCCTCCACCATCCTCTGCCTTTGCCCTGCAACCACAAACTGTTGTTGTGCCCCTCAGTCCAACGGATCCCATACAATCCTTTTACTTTGCCTATCCGCAAGGCATACCCACACAGAATCGTCGCAAGTCCTTTGCCCATCAAAAGCAGGCAGGCTGCCCGGCCTCGCATCTGGTCAAGGATCCATACGGCACCTTCTACTGTCGCCCATCGGCCATGTCCCGACGCCTGCGACGCGAACTGCAGCGCAACGGAGTCAAAGTGCTGAATGAGAATCAAAGTCCGCACAGCATGCTCTTCGACATGGTCAGTCTGCTGGCCACCATGTAAGCTGAAGGCTCTCCTCTACCCTTCCACTCTGCCACTAACTGAGTTTCCCTTTTGGCAGGTATAATTACGATCCAAATTATTGCATCATGCGAACGCTGTGCGAGGCTCGTCTGCTGCTGGCGCCACCCGGGCTGACGCTCTTCCATGATATTTTCCGCATAATGCTGCGCTATGTGCATCCGGAGATTGCCCATAAACCCAAGTATCGGGAGGCCTTCACCGCCGGACACACGCTCCACGAGTGCGCCAGCCTGTATGGTCCGCACTGTCGTCAAAGTTTTTTGCTGCGGCTCACGGAACCATTTCGCCAGAAAGCGGCACATTAATTAAATAAAATCGGAATAAGGAGAACATTTCAATGCATTTATTGGGCTGGCTGCCAGTTCATGGGTTTTTATTTATGAATCGAAATGCCCAAAACAAATTTGGTTAATATTTCCCCCGCGCTCCAAAAAGGAAATGCAAATTATTGCACACATTTATGATATGCCAAAAAGTGGAGAGCGAAAATTAAGCAAATATCCCAAGTGACATTTTTATTGACAGTTTTTTGTGTGCTCGCTACAGTGCAGTCCCTGCGACCATAAAAACATGCGAAAGGGGGAATTAATATAAGGGGAATATTTGTTTTTAAAGGGAGTAAAAAGTGGCACGGGTTTGCCCAACAAAAAAATGAGAAAAAACCGCATCATAATAATTTGAACTAAAGCTCATATTGTGCACTCAATAATTCTTATGGGAAGTTCCTTTCTGACCAAGACCTTCTGTCTAACCGCTTGACCTTATTTAGGTCTAACTATTCGCAGCTGATACTTTTGTGAGCATAACAAAACCGCTAAATTTAAATGATTAATAAATATTGAGTGACATGTCGGTGTGTATGTATGTATGTTGTGGTAAAAATAATTATTATTATCATTGATCGTTGCCTATTTTCATATTTTAATACCCTTTTCTTCTCTGCTTATTATTAGTTTTACTACTACCCCATGAACTAGAGTTATGATTATCAGTTAATTGTTAATAAATAAACAGCAAAATAAAATACAAAGAGAGCAAGATGTTTATTTCTCGCTTCTTCAATGACTTTTTTCAGTCACAATTTCTGACTGGCTCTTGGCTAATTGCAGAGCATTCAGCGACTGCAACTGCAGAATCTCAGCAACTCTACCTTTATGCACCCATTGCCTGCCCCGCCCGATTCGCTGCTGTAAATTTCGCAATTTGTATTATTTGCTTTTTGACTTTACAGCGCGCTGACAATTGGACTGGAAGTGGAAACAAAACAAGAGAATTTTACACGACTGTTGACATACAATTTACATGCCACTGCAATCAGTGTTGCGCGTACTGACAGCCGGGCAGAGTAAGCGGCGGGGCAGTACCTAGGGGGAAGTGCCAGTCAGCGAGTTGGCAGACACCCGCTAATCAGAGCAATCAACATAGTACTTGAGCTAATAAGCCGATAGCCGATAGCCGATAGCCGAACGGCAGCAATTTGAGTTTAGTTTGAAACGGAACGCGGTGCCGACAAAATGAGGCTCTCGGCGACTTACCACTGCAATCTGCTGGCACTATGCCTCCTGGCACTTGGACAAATGCAGCTGCAGGTGCAAGGGCGAGTGCAGACACAGACACAGACCCTGCCGCTGACAGCTGCAAATGGCACGCAAATGGAGGTGAAAGTTTTGCGGCGTCCCAAGCGTTATCTCGCATTTCCCGATGGTTCATCGGTTTCGGTGTGAGTGTGTTTGTGTGTGTGTGTGTGTGTGTCCAGGACTTTACTTTACGGTTACCATTCTTTTGTGTGTGTTGCGTGCAGGCAGCCATTTGCATGACTATCGGCATGATTGGCAATCCCGATGTGGACTTTCTCAGCTGGGCTGTCAACTGGGGCGTTGCCTACGATCTGCCCAATCGGGAGTGGGTCATACAGCATGCCCATGGGCTGAATGCCACACTATCGAAGGAACACATCCAGCGACGCTCACGGCGCGCCTTCTACGACGAAGTGAGGTCCATCTTTAATAAGTGAGTGTTAGTTCTGCTTTATGGTTGCCATTTGCTCACACTCTTCATTCAGCATGGGCTTCAATGGACACTCCTGTGTGGCTCGAGCGCTCTGCGAGAGTGCCAGGCTCATGCTGCCCCAGGGACAGCGCGGCAACATGCTGCAGGAACTGGTGCGCACTGTGTTCAGCCTGCCTGCGACGCCCGTGGCTGTCCATGAGCCACAGGCACATCATCAGTACGATCGCATCTACCGCAGGTCCAAGCGGTCTGCCAGGGAGTGCCACGAAATCTATCCCGACTGCCAGTTCTCGCTGCTGGCCCTGGCGCTGGGCAAGTACATGGGCGCCACCACAACCAAGTTGAGTGCATTTAATTTTATGTGAAATTTAGCTGAGAAAATAAAATAAAAAAATAAAAAAAATTAATAAAAAATTAATTAAAAAATAAATAAAAAATAAATATATAATAGAATGATAATTGTAGAGTTTGAGTGCTACTAAAAAATTTAAATTGATTTTAGACTGATTCGATTTATTTTTTAACCCACTTTGGCTACAATTTCCACCACAATTCCACCTCTTGCAGAATATACAAAAATATAACCCAAGAACTCAATTTACTTTCTCCCTTTATTTCCATTAAAAAAACACAGCTGGCACAATTTTTTTTTAAAACAAATTATTTCATTCTTCTTTATTTAATAACGCGTAACATTTATTTATATATTAATTGTTTTTCGTTTTTTATGGTTTGGGTTTTTTTGTTTTTAAATTGTTTTCAATTTTAGTGTTGTTATTCATTCGCAATTGTTGCTATTATTTCCGTTTGTTCTTGCATTTAGCATAGTTTTTTTTTTCTTTTATTTTTATTTAGTGTCTTACATTTAAGTTTTGAATGCGTTCTTTTCATTTCCCATTTCCTTTTGAAATTGTTTTGGTTGTGTTAACATATTTTTATTCTAGCATTTGTTTTTGTATTAATAATTTTTATGTTGAATTTTCGTTTCGTTTGCTTTGTTAAATTTGATCAAGTTTCCTTTTCGTTTTAGTATTTTAATTTTCAATTTTTCAATTGTCTGCTGAGTGTCTGTCTGCGGCTGTGTGTAATTTTTCTTGTTGCTTGTTTGTGTTTTGCTTTGTGTGTTAAATGTGGTTTTTTTTTGTGTTGTTCAAGAGAGTTTCGAATATATATTTAATATATATATATATATATATGTATATAGTATTCATATTTATGCATGTATTGTTAGGTATTCCTTTGTTTATGTGAAATGTAAATGCAACGTTTTTTCTTTTCTTTTTGTTTTAGATTTAATTTAATTGTTTTTTTGACACATTTATTTGAAATATTTGATGCGCAAAATGTCTTCTTTCATTAGCCTCCGGTTCGGTTCTTGCTGGTTTGTGATTTGCAGTGTTCGACGTTGACTTAGGCTAAATTTAGTTCTAACTTTGTTTTTGTATTTTTAGTATTAGTTTTAGTTGCAAAATATTTTACACACCATTCGCACCTTAGCCTACTTACGTTATGTGTTTGTTGTTGTTGTTGCATTAACTAAATTTTCAATTTAGTCAAGACTGATTCTGGGTGTAGAGTTTTGTGTTTTTAGTGAGCGTTCGGCCAACGCCTAACTAAGAGTCATTTCCACATATCTATACTATAAATATCTAATGCTGCGGCTGCGTATATGTATGCATATTTATTAGTCATATATTTTTTGTTTTTTTTTTGGTTTTCTTCTTTGAGCAAATATTAGTTAGTTACATACACGCATGCCTTAGCGCTCGTTTCTTTCTTTTACATTTAATTGTTTGTGGTGTTGTTTTCCCCAGTGAGTTGCAAGATTTTCGTTTAAGTATTACCATTTGTTTTTACGTTAAAAATCTTGCTGCTAAAATTGATTTTTACTTCTGCTTGTCGTATTTCTTTTGCACTTTTAAACGAACCGAAAGTAAAATACACAAACAAGAAACCAAAAGAAAACGTTTGCAAACGGAAGCGCACTTACAGTCTAGCGGCACCTAACAGTTAATACAAAAAATATACATACCCGTGTGTGTATAGTATAGTATATTGTATAGTATCTATAACTATCTGTATGTATGTATATAAATACCCGTATATATATATACGTACTCGCACATGTACATATATATGTATGTGTGTTTATAGTTCATATACTCGAGTGGCTTGCAGTTGATGAATTTATACATTTGATTTCCGTTTCCTGTTCGCTCACACACACACACACATTCACACAGTTGCATAAATACAAATACATTAGCTACTTGAGTACATTGATTGTTGTGGGGGAGTGGGGTGTATGTTGTGTCTCTGGTGCTGCTTGCAAAACTGTTGGAAAATGCATCGAAAAATTCTACTGCTGGAAAGTGAATTTAGGGATTTATGTATTCAGAAATATTTTACAAAAGTCATGTGTGCTGTCACTGTTCGGTTTATACATACAGGAAAAAACATTTCAAATTCGTTTTAATTGCATTTTTGCTGTCATTAATCTTTGCTGACTTCTGGGAGATGAGATGATGAGAGTTGCTCGAAATTTGTTCGCTTTGTTTTTGCTTTGTTGTCTTGTGTGTGTTTTGCTGCTGTTGAAACCGTTTTTAATATAATTAATTGATGTGTGTGTTTATTTGTTTGTGTGTGTTTACTTTGCGCAAATTGGCTAGCCAAATCGGATGAAACATTTGTCATTTTGTATGTACAAGACGAGCTTTTTGGCGAGAGAATTCTAGAAAGGTTTCAATTCATCTATTGTCAGGTACTTGATTAGTTTGCTGGAGTGGGAGCGGAACTGAAGAGTGTTAGAGAACGTGGAGAGACAGTTTGCCCAAAGTGTTTCGATTTGGCTGCTAATCCTTACGAGTATTTGCAAGTAAATGAATTTGCAGGTGCAGTTGTGTGTGGTGTGTGCGTGTGTGTTGCTGTAGGGTGTGTGTGGTACAGTTTTTTGTGTGTTCTTTTCTAACCAGCTCCACAGCGGCTTTTCTTCCAATTTTGTTGTTCGTTTTGACTGTTTGTTGTTTCTGGTTTTTTTTGTTTGTTTTCGTTTAGCAATACGCAGACTTTGATTCTTGTTGTGTTTGCTACAAAAGACGACCTTTGATTTGGAAGACATACGATTTTATGTTTTTTGAATCTCAGGGTCAAGCCGCATATATATCAAATACGTTCTCTCATTTTCACTTTATTACATCATAAGTTTTTTTTTGTGTTTTGTTTTTTTGTTACTATTTTCTCGTTTAACTAATTATGTTTACTGTTAGTGCTAAGTGTGTGTTTGTGGGCCTTAAACAATTGCTTTTGGCTTTAAAATGAAACACGTTTGTGGCTCGAACGTCGGCCCTTGGCGTTGTCATGCCGAAGAAATCTCTCTTCAACTTCGGACTCCCTTCGCCAAGGTCTTTCCCTGTGCTTTATCTACGGGTTATGGGGTTTTCTTCCATCTATCAATTTCGTTGTCTGCTTTAACTGTAATTGGGGGAAATGAATTGTACTGGGAAATAAATTCTTGTTGCTTCAACGATTCATTATCTTTATGAGTATGTGAGTAGTCTGTCTGTGTGTTTACAAGAATGAAATGCGTGGCTGACTGGCATCTGCTTTTGCTGGGTGTGTGTGTGGGTTAGTTTTGTTCTATGTACAGTGTTTTTTTTCTATTTAGTGTTAGTACTTAGCCACAAATGTTAACTTCGAGCAACCTTCTGCAGGTTCCTAGCATACTTGATTAGTTGATTTTGCTGCACCTAAATATACATTATATTCTTGGCTTCCACATTGTAACTGTCGAGTGCTTGGCTGTGGACACGCTTCCAAAAATGTTTCTTGTTTGTTGCACTTAACTAACTAATTCGTATATCGTTAATGGGCATACAATAATAATTGTATATCTATTTAATATGTACTCTTTCGTCTCGTTTGTGGCAGTATTTCAATTACACGGTTTCTTCACATTTATAACTATTTGTTTGCGTTTTTTGTTTGTATATCAAGCAGACTAAATATTTAGCTAGAAACCTAAAAGACGGCGAGCACCTAAAAGCAAGAAAACGCGTTTTTAAAAAGGCAAATTCAAAATGTTTGACATTATTAGCATAATTTACACTTAACTAGGAAGTCCCCCTTCGCTCTTGTTAGCTCTCGTAGGCTAAATTTAATGTATAATTAATTTATGAATTAATATTGTTTTCAATGTGCAAAATGAACTGTACATTTACGAGTCTTTGGTGCGACTCAACGATTGACTGGCTGAATGATTGATTGAATTAACGATTGTTTTGTCCGTCTGTTTGTCCGTTGCGGTGAGTGTGGGCACACACACACACACACACACACGGAGGCAAACCTATTTGTTTATAACCTAAAAACACAACCAATGAGAGCATATACACGTCTATGTATTTGACTTTAATTCTTCGATTTTTGTCCTTCGTGTCCTTCTGTGTTGTGTTTCCCTTCCTTCCTTCCAACTCCTTCTTGCGTGTGTCTAGTGTTGTTTTGTTTTATTAATTATCCAGTTAAATGTGTGTTTTAATTTATCTCTCTATTTACTTTTTGGTTTTTGCTTTAGCGTGTCGATTTTCCCAAGTGAAACAATTTACAAAAATGGTTTTTCGTTTTTTAAATGAATTCTTGCCTTAGTTTTTCTCCCTTTTTGCCATGCACATTATTAATTTTAAATATGCATTAATCCGCTTCATTAGTTCAATTTATTCACAGAAAAGTTACGCCATTTACTTGTCATTAGTTCTTCGTTTTTTTTTTTTGTTTTTTTCATTTGTTTGCTTTATTGTTTATATACTTTAGTAGTTGATTGTCTAAAACTATAACAAACAAATTTGTTAAGCTTGAATAAAAATGCAAAATGAACACCGAAAATGTACGAATTAAAGATACAAATTTAAATGAAATGCAAAAACGGTATAAAAGCACATACCACTACATCAATATTTTTGTATTTACAAGCACACACACTAAAAAGATCTCTTTTTATTTAGTGATTTAAGAAAAACAAAAAAGTACGAGTGCCTCTCCATTTTGCCTAAATGTTGGGATGGGTTGAGTGCTATTTTTTGATGGATTTTCTTCGTTTCATCCATTTATTCCCAATTGCTTTCATCTGCCAGCAATTAGTTGCTTTATTTATTTCATTTTAATGTTCGTGCTGCTGCTGATGCTTTTTATTTAGTGGTTATTCAGTTTTGCCTATACATATGTATATTCTATGCATGTATTTATGTATACATCGTAGGTGTCGTCGTGTGTGGTGTTTCTGTTTTCTATATATTTTTTTCAGACTTTTTTTTTATTATACGGATGTCGAGACTTGTGTCAAACTGTTTTTTTCCTCCCCCCCTCTTTTTTTCCTGTGTCCAATTTG